ATACGTTCATATACATACATACATACATACATACATACATACATATATATATATATATATATATATATATATATATATATATATATATATATATATATGTATGTATATATATAATATATATACATGTGTATAAATAAATATATGCATGCATATATATGTGTGTCTGTAATGTGTGTGTGTGTGTACATATATATATATATATATATATATATATATATATATATATATATATATATATATATATATATATATATATATATATATATATATTTTGTGTATGTGTGAGTGTGTGTTTATGTGTGTGTGTATGTTTGTTGTGTGTTGTTTGTGTGTGTGTGTATGTGCATGTGTGTTTACCCACACACGCACACGATATATATATATATATATATATATATATATATATATATATATATATATATATATATATATATATATATATATATACGCACACATATATAAGATGAGCTGACCTTTAGGAATTAAACTCAGTGAGACGAAGAGAAAAAAGAAATAATGTTTTATTGCAGTATATACACTAATTTGATATATATCGTATAATCACATTTTTGGCTTATATTAATTTTATATACTTTACAAGTATCCACATACGTACAAACATTCACAATAAAAATCACAGGTACATAAATAAATAACAAACATATAATAACATCATTTGTATATCACATATAATAAACACGACATAAGCATTTCCTCGGAAGGATCTCCTATGATACATCTCATCAATATTTTCATAAAAAAAGAATGAAAAGAGACACATAAGGAGAAAATATTGAAACATAGACAAGTACAGGCAGATTAATGGGCGAAAGATCGTGCAGATTTCTACTTTTTTAGGAAAAGCAGAATCTACTCCTTTCTAAATTGCCTTTTTCGATATCAAAGTTATGTATACCGAAACTTGATATATGTAGGACAAAGAATACTAAATTCCCTTCAATAAGTAGGGAAATTTTCCTCGTAAACAAAACGACCTGAAAAGCCATTCAACCAATAATACTACAGAGTTACCATGCACTGCTAGTCCCCTTACACACTCGACTCTCACGAGAAATTCAATCGCATAATATAAATCCCTGAACAGAATGATTATCAGATTATTACAGCGATGCCAATGAATTCCTTCCTCGGTAGATTTGCTCCTGTTGAATTAGACTCTAAAACGGCCTTTTTTCTCTTTGAAATTTCTAAGGTTTGGTGGGCTGGATTCAAAAGCCTTGTTTCTTGTGGCTGCCTTTTATCCGGTTCTGCGAATATAAATAGATGGATAAGACAATAATAAATCAAAACATGTAAATAAGGTAATAATGATGAAAGCTCATTATCGATTATGAATACAATTACTTAATCATTCCAGTATCTTAATGATATCTTGACTAACAATAACAGCCATACTGATTTATGGTAATCACATAATAAATCTAGAAGACGGTTATAAAAGGAACAAAATCTAGAGCAAACTTACCTCGTGAAGCCATAGATGTCAAAATCGTGCCAGAAGCGGTCATCAAAGTGAGGCTTCAAAAGTCCAAGTCTCCCCTGAAAAGAAAACGAGAAAGGTGAGGGGTAACTATGGTAATAATGAAAATGAAAATAGTAATAACCATGATGACTGTAAAGCGTAGAACGAGGAGCAAACTTTGTGGAAATTATGAGTAGATTGAGGAATGAGCATGGAATGAAGAATGAGGAATGAACATGAGGAGAGTGAAGGCTGAACACTGTCAAATGTAGAATATACATTTTGAGTGGAATAAAAATGCACATTATGAGTAGAATGAAGAATAAACATGGGTGACATCACGAGAAGACTGCAGACAGGATGTTATGAGTAAAATAAATGAGTAAAACATGAAGAAACATGAGAAGAATTAAAGAAGAACATTATAAGAATGAGAGAAGAAACATGAGAAGGATTTACACTGAACAAGTAGAAGTAAGCTATTTTATGAGAAAAGAAAATCATGAGAGGGATGAAGACTGAACTTGCAAACAGAACGAAGCCAAAATCGCCTTACCCTGTGGCCGAATCTGCTCCTGAAGCCAGGGAGCGAGTTGGGTCCGCGGCCATTGTTGGACTGGGCCACCGCAGACAACGCGAACACCAGCAGAGAAAAGGCGAACAGCAACGTCCTTCTGAACATCTGGGAAAAGGGACGAGGAAGATTGAGGTGAAGGGGGTTTAGGGGGAGGGGGTGAAAGAGGATGATGCAAGAAATATATACGTTTTTAGATTTATAGTTTATAGTTTATGTATCTCTTTCTCTGCCTGTATCTCTCTCTCTCTCTCTCTGTCTCTCTGCCTGTCTATTCAGTTCATGTATCTATCTATCTCTCTGTCCATCTCTTTCTATCTGCCTTTATCTATCATTCAAAATAAATTTATATAAAAATCTTTCAAATTTTCACACCCATTTTAAAATCTAGATCAAAATGTAAAACTAATTCACTATAAGTATTGAACAGCGAAAATAATAATTAAAAGCAAAGATCACCTTCTATAAACCACTGTCTGATTTAAACACAAACAAACACAAACACACAAATACAAACAAAAACAAACAAGCACAAACGCAAGCAAATAAAAACACAAACAAACACAAACACGCAAAGAGTGACATTTACCTTGATACGTGTTATCTCTCCTGCTCACTGTGTTACAACTGATCTGGTTTCGCCTCTCTTACCTGTATTTATCGTCCGCCAACGTGGGGGGGGATGATTAGCAGAGGGGGGGGGGGTGTTATTGCATGTCCTCATCCTAATGCACCTCTTCCCCCCCTTTCCTTCCTCCCCTTCTTCCTCCTCTCCCTTCTCCCTCCTCTCCCTTCTCCCTCCTCCCTCTTCTCCTCTTCCCTCTCTCCCCTTCTCCCTACTCCCTCTCTCTCTCCCTTCCCTCTTCCCTCCCTCCCTTCTCCCTCTCCTCTCCCTCTCTCCCTTCTCTCCCCTCTCCCCTTCTCCTCTTCCCCTTCTCTCTCCTCCTCCCTCTCCTTCCCTCTCTCCCCTTTCTCCCTCCTCCTCCCTTCTCCCTCTTCCCTCTTCTCTCTTCCCTTTCTTTCTTCTCCCCTTCTCCCTACTTCCCTCTTCTCCCTCCTCCCCTCTCTCCTCTTCTCCCTACTTCCCTCTTCTCCCTCCTCCTCCCCCTCCTTCCCTCTTCTTCCCTCTCTCCCCTTCCTTTCCTTCCCTCTTCTCCCCTTCCCTCCTTCCTCCCTTTCTTCCTACTTCCCTCTTCTCCCTCTCTCCTTCCCCTCTTCCCTCTTCTACCCCTCTCCCCTTCTCCCTTCTCTCCCCTTGTACTATATATCCCCTTCCATTACCCCTCCTTATTCCATTCCTTCATCACCTTCTTCTCCTCCTCCTTTTCTTCCTCCTCACACCTTTTATCTCCTACCCAACTTCCTCCTTTTTCTCCTCCACTTTACCCATCCCCTCCCCCACCCTTCCCCCATCACTCCCCCCATATATGTGTATGTTTGTGTGTGTGTGTATGTATATGTACACACACATATATACATATATAATATATATATATATATATATATATATATATATATATATAATATATATATGATATACCGAATATCTTCACAGTTATATTCGTCCACATTTGTATGAACATATATATATGTATTATATATATATATATATATATATATATATATATATATATATATATATATATATATATATATATATATATATATATATATATATATATGTATATATTGCATATATATATATATATTATATATATATATATATATATATATATATATATATATATATATATATATATATATATATATATATATATATATGTGTGTGTATATGTGTGTGTGTATGTGCGTGTGTGTGTTGTGTTAACACACACACACGCACATATATATATATATATATATATATATATATATATATATATATATATATATATATATATATATATATATATGAAAATGAAACTAACCACAATGAGAATTGAAAATAAGCGTGACGTTTCGAAGCAAGTTCCTCATCAGACCGAAATTTCGAAACAGTTCGAACGTCACGTCATATTTCATTATATATATTATATATATATATATATATATATATATATATATATATATATATATATATATATATACTGAACATATGTATATATTATATATATATATATATATATATATATATATATATATATATATATATATATATATATATATATATATATGTGTGTGTGTGTGTGTGTGTATGCGTGTGTGTTTACCCACACACGCACACGCATATATTATACATATATATATATATATATATATATATATATATATATATATATATATAATATAATGAAACTAACCACAATGAGAATTGAAAATAAGCGTGACGTTTCGAACTGTTCGAAAATGAAACTTCGAAGAGTTCGAAACGTCACGCTTATTTTCAATTCTCATTGTGGTTAGTTTCATTTTCATTTTTTTTGATTGTGGATATATTATATATATATATATATATATATATATATATATATATATATATATATATATATATATATATATATATATACGTGTATGCGCGTGTGTGTGTTTACCCACACACGCACACGCAATATATATATATATATATATATATATATATATATATATATATATATATAATATATATAATGAAACTAACCACAATGAGAATTGAAAATAACGTGACGTTTCGAACTGTTTCGAAATTTCGGTTTTTGTCTGATGAGGAACTTGCGAACAGTTCGAAACGTCACGTTTATTTTCAATTCTCATTGTGGCTAGTTTCATTTTCATTTTTGTGTTCACGTGATTGTGTTTGTGATTGTGTTCATATATATATATATATATATATATATATATATATATATATATATATATATATATATGCGTGTGTGTGTGTTACACCACACGCACGCATATATAAGATGAACTGATCTTTAGGGATTAAACATAGTGAGACGAAGAGAAAAAAGAAATAATGTTTTATTGCAGTATATACACTAATTTGATATCTATCGTATAAACACATTTTTGGCTTATTTTATACTTTATATCATACAAGTATCCACATACGTATAAACATTCACAATAAAAATCACACGTATATTTATAAATAACAAAGATATAATAACATCATTTGTATATCACATATAATAAACACGACATAAACATTTCTTCGGAATGATCTCCTATGATACATCTCATCAATATTTTCATTAAAAAGAATGAAAAGAGACACACAGGGAGAAAATATAGAAACATAGACAAGTACAGGCAGATTAATGGGCGAAAGATCGTGCAGATTTCAACTTTTTTAGGAAAAGCAGAATCTACTCCTTTCTAAATTGCCTTTTTCGATATCAAAGTTATGTATACTGAAACTTGATATATGTAGGACAAAGAATACTAAATTCCCTTCAATAAGTAGGGAAATTTTCCTAAAACGGCCTTATTTTCTCTATGAAATCTCTGAGGTTTGGTGGGCTGGATTCAAACGCCTTGTTTCTTATGGCTGCCTTTTATCCGGTTCTGCGAATATAAATAAATAGATAAGACAATAATAAATCAAAACATGTAGGAATTTTATATTCAAATGTAGGAATAGATAAATAAGGTAATAATGACGAAAGCTCATTATCGATTATGAATACAAATGCTTAATCATTCCAGTATCTTAATGATATCTTGACTAACAATAACCGCCATACTGATTTATGGTAATCACATAAATCTAGAAGACGGTTATAAAAGGAAAAAATCTATAAGTAAGAGTAAACTTACCTCGTGAAGCCATGGATGTCAAAATCGTGCCAGAACCGGTTATCAAAGTGAGGCCTCAAAAGTCCAAGTCTCCCCTGAAAAGAAAACGAGAAAGGTGAGGGGTAACTATGGTAATAATGAAAATGAAAATAGTAATAACCATGATGACTGTAATGCAAAGAAAGAGGAGCAAACTTGGAAGTAAGCTATTTTATGAGACGAATGAGAAAAGAAAATTATGATTAGGATGAAGACTGAACTTCCAAAATCGCCTTACCCTGTGGCCGAATCTGCTCCTGAAGCCAAGGAGCGAGTTGGGTCCGCGGCCATTGTTGGACTGGGCCACCGCAGACAACGCGAACACCAGCAGAGAAAAGGCGAACAGCAACGTCCTTCCGAACATCTTCATCTGGGAAAAGGGACAAGGAAGATTGAGGTGAAGAAGAATTTATAGTTAATAGTCTATGTCTCTCTTTCTGTCTGTCTGTCTCTCTCCCTCCCTCCCCCCCTCTCTCTCTCTCTCTCTCTCTCTCTCTCTCTCTTCATTTATCTATCTATCTGTCTATCCATCTCTCTTCTGTCTTTATCTATCAAAGTAAATATCTAATCCACTATAAACATTGAACAGCAAAAATAATAATTAAAAGCAAAGATCCCCTTCTATAAACTACTGTCTGATTTAAACCCAAACAAACGCACAAACCCAAACAAAAACAAACACAAGCAAAAATCAAACACAACACAAACGCAAACGCAAACAAAAACAAAACACAAACACGCAAAGAGTGACATTTACCTTGATACGTGTTATCTCTCCTGCTCACTGTGTTACAACTGATCTGGTTTCGTCTCTCTTACCTGTATTTAACGTCCTCCAACATGTGGGGGTGGGGGGGGGTATTATTGCATGTCCTCATCCTAATGCACCTCCTCCCCCCTCTCCCTCCTCCCTCCTGCCCTCTTCTCCCTCCTTCCCTCTTCTTTCTCCCCTCCCCTCTTCTACCTCCTCTCCCTTCCTCCTCCTCTCCCTTCTTCCTCCTCCTCTCCCCTTCTCCCTTCTTCTCTCCTCTCCCCTTCTCCCTCCTTCCTTCAATCATCTTCTCTTCCTTTTCCTCCTCCCGCACCTTCTTCCTCCTACCCAACTTCCTCCTTTTTCTCCTCCTCCATCCTCTCTTCCTCCTCCTCCTCTTCCTCTCCCTTTCACCTCATCATCCCCGTACCCCATACTTCCTCCTCCTCCTGCTCCTTCCTACCCCACTTCCTCTTTACTCATCCCCTCCCCTACCCCCCCATCCCTTCCCCCAGCTTACCCCTCCCCCCCGACCCACACTCACACCCCCTCCCCTTCCCCTCCCCCCTTTTAACCCACACTCACCCCTCCCCCTCCCCCTCCCCCCAGCTTTAACCCCGACCCACACTCACACCCCCTCCCTCCTTCCCCCTCCCCCCCAGCTTTAACCTCCGACCCACACTCACACCCCTCCCTCCTTCCCCCTCCCCCCAGCTTTAACCCCCGACCCACACTCACCCCTCCCTCCTTCCCCCTCACACTCACACCTCCTCCCTTCCCCCCCCCAGTTTACACCCTAACCCACCTCCCCCCTCCCTCCTTCCCCCCCCCCCCAGCTTTAACCTCCGACCCACACTCACACCCCCTCCCCCCCATTACACCCCTCACCTCACACTTCCCTCCTCCCCTCCCCCCAGTTTTACACCCCCCCACACTCCACTCCCCCCCCCCCCAGTTTTACACCCCTAACCCACACTCACACCCCCTCCCTCCTTCCCCCTCCCCCCAAGCTTTAACCTCCGACCCCCCTCCCTCCCTCCCCCTCCCCCCCCAGCACCTCCACACACTCCCACACACCCTCCCTCCCATTCCCCTCCCCCCAGCTTTAACCTCCGACCACCTCCCTCCCACCCCCTCCTCCCCCCCTCCCCCAGTTTTACACCCCCTAACCCACACTCCACCCCTCCCTCCTCCTTCCTCCCCCCCCAGTTTTACACCCCCTAACCCACACTCACACCCCCTCCCTCCTTCCCCCTCCCCCTAATCCCCGACCCCACACCACACCCTCCCCCTCCTTCCTTCCCCCCAGTTTTACCCCGTACCCACACTCACACCCCCTCCCTCCTTTCTCCCCAGCTTTAACCTCCGACCCACACTCCACACCCCCTCCCTCCTTCCCCCCCCCCCCCTTCCCCTCCCAACCTCCCCGACCTCCCCACACTCACACCCCCTCCCTCCTTCCCCCTCCCCCCCCAGTTTTACACCCCCTACCCACACTCACACCCCTCCCCCTTCCCCCCCGCTTTAACCTCCTAACCCACACTCTCACCCCCTCCCGCCCCCTCCCCCCCCCTCCCCCCCAGCTTTACCTCGAACACCCCACTCTTCCTTCCCACCTTCCTCCCACCCTTCCCTCCCACCCTCCCCCCACCCACCCCCTCCCTCCCTCCCTCCCACCCACGCTTGCAATATCAACACCTTGCAACACCCACATCCGTGAGGCCACTCATGGGTGTCAAAAACCAGCATAGATCTGGAATGCGGACGAGAGGCGAGGGCATAATACTGATTACCCTGCGTTATTAAATTGCTCAAGTGTTGTCTGTTACTGTTCGTCTGGATGATTCGGTTGATAGCAATGATTGGAGGCAGTATGATTTAGGGAATGCGTACGTAGATTCGTGAAGAAATTTGTTGTTTGTTTGTGTTTTCGTTATATCATTATCATTGTTATTGTCATTACATCACCTACTATCATTCTTACTACCTTGTACTTACCATCTATTAATTACTACTAATGACTTATCATCATCATTATTTACTACTATTACCCTCAGATAGTATAATAATACTTATAATAAAGATAATTGCAATTTTTGATATTATCTTCCTATATTGTTATTACTATGTATATTATTTGATTATATCATCATCATAATCATTATCCTATATCAATTGTTTGTTATTGTATCATATATTATCATATATCATTAACTGATACTATCCACCATTATTATCATTTACACAATTATTACATCATATTGTATTATTACAAACATATTAATCATTTATCATTATAATTTATCATATTAAATCATTTTCATTATGTAATTATCTTTAATCATGAATTAAATTTAATATGTTATCATTTTGTATTACGTTATGTATGGATTATATATGGTATATTATTATTATTATCATTATCACTTTTTATCATTATTCTTAATATTGTTATCATTAGTAGTAGTAGTATCTTTATTATTATTATCATTATCATTAGTAGTACTATAATAATTTTTGTCACTATCATATCAATCATCATCATTAATTTTCATTATCATTATTAAATCATTACCATCACATCAATATCATTATCATACAATCATTATGAAACAATGACATTCTTAATATCATCACTATATACTTAATATGACATCATATTTTAAAGCATTAATATATATATTTCACAGTCATAATCATTGTCAATATTACTGGCTTTATAACAATTATTGTTGTTATTACAATCATATCCACTATTCTTATTATGATCATCGTTATCATTATCATTATTGTTACTATTATCATTATCAAATTTGTCATCATTACTATTATTGCTATCATCATCATTACTGTTCCATAATACTTATCATATTTTATATCGATATCATCATCATTGTCATCATTGTATAGTATTGTCATTATTACCATTACTATAATCATCATTATTAATGGTAAAATCATTGTAGCTGTTTTTTACTGTAATCATTATCAAGTTATGATTATTTTTATAATCATAGTTATAAATTTAAGTTCAATAAATATAAAACCATTGTTATGATCTCATATTTGTTATTTATTATTACATTATTGTATAATCATCATTATTGTTATTATTGTCATTATTATTAGCATCGTCATTTCGTCAATATCTTATCATCATTATTTCATCCATCTTAAATCTTAATAATTTCTACTATATTTTCATTCTTGCCTTTAATACTTATTGCCCTTAATATTACCAATAATTATTATCTTTATTGGTAATATACTTTTTAATTATCATTATTATAATACTAGCCTGTTTAACATCATCATCATTATCATTTTCATTATTTTTGCCCTATCATTAATCATTATCCTACTAACTGCTATACTACACTACTATTATTCATTACTATCATATCATTATCATCATTGTTTATGCTATATTATTATCATCATCTTAGTTATAATTAAACATCCTTAATTTTATTATATTAAGGTGATCTTGGATATACCATACTTACTGCTGCTATATTATTTCTTATTAACCATATCACTTTTAATCATTACCACTATCAATTATCTTTATCCTCCATTGTTTTATCAGCCACTGGCATATATAACCATTGAATAATATCATCATCCACATTGTTTCACTAAAATATTTTATCAATTGTATGAATTTATATAATATATGTATAAACATTTACTTAATGTACTGCTTCATTATCATATCACATCCTCGCATATCATCTATATAATTTTCATCATTATCATAATCGGTAGTCTCTCTGGTGTGTTTGTAATGCTTGCAGGAAAGTTTTTTTTTTTTTTCTTTTTTTTTTTAATTTTCAGATAGAGTTAATGAGATATTTGAATACAATACAATCCTTAAAAAAAAATGGCCGTTGATAAAACGAATACTCAAGGAAATGATTCTTCTACTGATATCATTACATTAACAGAAAATAGAGCACGAACAGACTATAATCCCAGTCATTAAGGCCTATTTGCAATATGTTTATACGATTGGTCACTCTTCAGCACAAGTTTCATCACCACCTTATGTCATGCAGCGACCACGCATGTCAAGAACGTTTGAGATGGTACCTTGTACTGCCCTCGGATGGAACAAGTATGTAATTGCGCAGCAAGGCAAAGGGGAGTAAGGAGGGAGGTAAGAGGGGGAGGGGGGGAAGGAAGGAGGTGGAAGGAAAGGGAGAAGTAGGGAAGGAGAGCGAGGAGGGAAGAGGGAAGGAAGGGACATTGGGAAGGGAGCTGGGAGAGAAGGAAAGGAGGGAGGGAGAGAGATTGGGGAAAGGGGGGAAGAGAAGAAATGGCGAGGAGAGAGCGAGGGAGGGACAGAAAGAGGTGAAGAAATGGGGGAAGGGAGGAGAGGGGGAGAAATGGGGAAGTTGGAGAGCGGAGGAGGGTAGAAGGTGGAGAAATGAGGGAGAACAAGGGGTTGAGAACCAGAGGGAAAAGCGCATAATAGTAAAAAAAGAGAGAGATGGGGAAGAGGGAGAGAGAAATTTTAAGAAAACAGACAGAAAGAGGAAAGAGAGAGAAAGTGAGAAAGACAAGAGAAGAGACGCAATTAAGGGACAGGTGAGATATAGGTAGAAAAATAGAGAGAGAGAGAGAGAGAGAGAGAGAGAGAGAGAAGAGAGAGAGAGAGAGAGAGAGAGAGAGAGAGAGAGAGAGAGAGAGAGAGAGAGAGAAGAGAGAGAGAGAGAGAGAGAGAGAGAGAGAGAGAGAGAGAGAGAGAAGAAGAGAAAGAAGATAAAAGAAAGAAAAAAAGGAACGCAAAAGCTGAAAAAAAACACAACAACAAAAAAACACATAACCCACCAACCCTCGTACTTCCTACCCTCATCATGGACAGGACCGAAACCTTGCCTAATAATGATCCACCTTCGAATCCTCTCGCATCTCCCAACATCTCAACGATTCACTAAAACCGACACCAACCAATCACTCCTTCTTAACCGGATTATTTTCACCCCATTGCAATAACTCCGGGCCAGGGCAGGGAAAACAGGAGCGAGCGAAATTCCT